CTAATTCCAGAGGAGTCAGGAAGGAAGAAAAGTTTATGTTTCCATTTAAAGAAACAAACAAAAATATTTTAAGAAATAACTGAACCTATCAACACCTCAAAAAAAAGTAAAATGCTTAAATTGGGAAAAACAAAGCATAGTTAAAAAAATCAGTAATGTTTCACTCAAAAGTCATAAAATTCTATTTTGCCAGTTCAGTCTTAAATTCAAACTCTCTTCTGTTGAATTTGCAGTGTTACTGTTGTTCAATCTGTCCATTTAAATCCTGGAAGTTAACATTTAATGTTGTTATTGATATTTTTTGTCCCTAACATTAAATTGGTCATTTTCTTGGTTGCCTTTTGTTCTCTTATTTCTGTATATGTCTTTAGTTTTCTTGGTAGAAACTCCTTTCAGAACTTCTTGAATACTGGGTCTGCTATTGGCAAGTTCTTTCAGGTCTTGTTTATCTGAGAATGTTTTAATCCTTTCTTTCCATATGAAAGATAATCTTGTTGGATATAGTATTCTTGGTTGAAACTGTTTTTCACTTAAGACTTTGAATATATATTCCCATCCTTTCCTTGTTCGCATTGTTTCTGATGAGAGGTCTGAGGTTAGCTTGATTGGATAAGTAATCTTTATAAGTAACCTGACGTTTCTCCTCTTGCCAATTTTAGTATCTTGTCTTTGTCTGTAGATTTGGCCAGTCTGGCTATGATGTGCCTTGGAAAAGATCTTCTTGGGTTGATTCTGTTAGGGGTCCTTTGTATTTCTTGGTTCTGGATATTTGAATGCCTCTCTAGATTTGGGAAGTTTTCTTCCAAGATTTCATGAAGTAGATTATCAATGCCCTTTTTAGTTTCCTCATCTTCTGGGATACCAATTATCCAGATGTTTGGGTGCTTAATGCTGTCTAGGATTTCTCATATAGTATTCTCATTTTATTGGTTATTGTCTCAGGTTTTTTTGGTTGTTTTTTCTAGATCAGAGGTTTTGCCTTCAACATCCAAGATTCAGTTTTCTGCATGGACTAATCTGCTTTTCATACTTTTGAGGGAGGTTTTGATTTCCTGAATGGCAGCCTTCATCTCTAATAGCTCCATTTGATTCAGATTTTTTTTTTTTAATGGTGTACATTTCCTCTTCAGGTCATGGAAGAACTTCAACACCTCCTGGAACTCGTTGTCTCTTTTCTCCTGCATCTTCTGGAGTTCCTTATCTCTCAGATATTGCATCTCATTTAGTTTTGTCACTATGAATATTCTGAATTCTCTGTCAGACATTTCCACTAGTTCTACTGTACTGTCTGTGGATGATGAAGGATTGTGCTTTTCCCCCTGGGGGAGAGATATTTTCTTGGTTTCTCATGTTTCATGCTTCTGTGGTGGTTTCTGGACATTCTGTGACAGTCTCTCCTCCACTTGTCTGAATATTTCAGGAGTCTAGAAGATGGAATTTAGAGCATAGCATCCTTAAACAGGCCAGGACACATCTGAGCTTTAAAATGGCCTCTTGTCTAAATATTTTGGGAGTCTAGAAGATGGAGTTTAGAACATAGTTTCCCTCTAGGTCAGAGTTTTTGTCTTTTGCATCCAACTTCTGCATGATCTAACTCGCTTTTTATACTTTCAAGGGAGATTTTGATTTCCTGCATTACAGCTTTCATCTCCAACAGTTCCGTTTTATTCTGTTTCATGGTGTCTATATCTTCTTTAAACTCACAGAAGGGCTTCCTCATCTCCTGTAGCTTGTTGTCTCTTTTCTCTTGCACCTTTGGAGTTCATTGTCTTTTTTCTCTTGCATCTCATTTGGTTTTGTCACTGTAAATATTCTGAATTGCTTATTTGACATTTCCATGAGTTCCATTGTACTATCTGTGGATGATGAGGAATTGTTACTTTCCCTTGGGGGAGAGATATTTTCTTGGTTTCTCATGTTTCTTATACCTCTGTGCTAGTTTCTGGTCATCCAATGAATTATATCCATCTTCCTAATTTCTTAGAGTTTATTTTGAGTGTTCGAAGGCATTTGGGAAGATGTGATCTGCCATCTCTTTGCGACCCCATCTCCCTGACACTCACCTTGTAACCTGCACTTTTGTTGCTGGGTCTAGACGTTCCAAATGCTTCTCAGATTCTAGAGAGCAGATGCACCTGGGGCTGAGCAGCAGGCTTTCAACTGAGAAAGAAAATGTGGGTTGTGCAGTGTACACTGTATGCCACATGCTTTGGAAAACTATGAAGTCTGTAATGAACGGGAGAGAGTGGAGGTTCCAAGGCAGTCTCTGTTCTTGATTAGCTCACTCGCTTCTGCTATACCAGGAGCTGGGAAAATAGCAAGGCAGGAGTTGGGAGCAAGAGGGACTGGCACCTGGAGCAGACGAAGAGAGTGAGCAGGCTCCAAGGCAATCTCTGGCCTCGGTTCAGTCATTCGCTTCTGTTGCACAGGAGCCTGGAACAATAAGTCCACACCTATTTATAATAACATTGAATGTCAAGACTTAATGTACGTTCAACTATTTTACACACAGGCAGGCTTAAATACAAATTCCCAATTATTTGAGCATTGTCTTCCCAGGTTTCATTTTGTATATTTATTATAACCATTACTCATTGTATAGAAGTAGATACACAGAAAAAGTCCAAAATGTTACAGCTGTTTCTTTGGAATGAAATTGAAAAAAAAAAAAGCTAAAATCAAGAACTTGGTAAAGCCTATATATCACCAAATCACTAACTTTACCATGTCTTCACTTTTCACTTTTAAACATCTCTTTCCAAATTTGTTTTATCTTTGCTTTTTTGAGGACCCATTTCTTTATGCACAGTGCAGTACTATGGTCTTACAAGAACTCACAGCATCTGAGTAAAATTGTTTTTTTAAATCTCTTCCTAATGAGCCATTGTTACAAACCACAGGTTTATTTTATAAAATTATGAACTCTTATTTCTAACAGTCACTACATGAAAGTTACAAATTCTTCTTTCATTGGTTATGTTGAGATTTTCTTTGTTAATTTATGAGATTGTGTGTTGCATGATTTTTAATCAATATATATATTTTAGACCTATAGTTCACAGTAAAGAATGTCATAGACAGCTGAGTACATACTTGCAGAACAGCCATTGGAGTGAGTTTCGAATGTTCACAACATAATGTTAAGTATTGAAGGTGGTGAATACATTTATATCCTCAATTTGTTTATTGCACAGTTTATGGTCTTTTAAAGACCATTCTGTAACCTACAAAAATATTTAACGATTCTATTTAAATCATAATTTACAATAAATATCTAAAGAGAAAAAAAAGTATGCATATAGTGTATATGCATAGGCTCTATTTACTGTAAGAGCCTAGAAGCCACAATACCTCAGTAACAATGAGAATACCTAGTTTGCAGACACAGGTTTTTAAATATCATTTTCCGCTAATGAACCATGGCTCTTTGGAGAAGGTCTAAGGCAGAGAAACATAACTCAGCCTAATGAGCCTATGACACTCCATAGTTAGAGAAAGAAAGTCCTCCAAGAATAACAGGGGCCTATCAAGGAGTTCTCTTGAAGGAGTTTCCATGGACAAATTTGGGACAACTTGGGTGTTAGAAAGAAAAAACGAAAAGAGAGAAAATAAAAAGAAGAAAGAGGAGAGAGGAGAGAGAGCAGTGGCAGCTCAATATTCATTCGGTAGTGACCTACTTTGAAAATTGGTGTAGACAGTGAAAGAAAAGTTGTAAACACTTAGGAACTATAATATTTTTCCCAGTTGATGAAAGAGTGCTGGGTAATAAATGCTTTAATTTGAACCATAAGAAATCGTTGATGTTCAACTTTTTTTTTTAAGAGAGATTTTTGCTGTAGGGTGCATGCATTTGCCAGAGAGACAGATAGTGAGAAATCACTCCCATGGGAGACGGCCATGCCATCCATTCTCCCCTTGGGATTTTGGGCCTGCACGCACACACACACACACACACACACACACACACACACACACACAGCCTGAATTTCAAGCTGCCAGGTCCAGGACTCAAAACATAGTCAGCCTTGTGGGAGTTCAGCAATGTAGTCATTTCACCAATAGTCCCATCAACTGTTTTTAATATACAGAATTGCACATGGTTTAACTACAAATGGAATGAAAAAATTAGAAAAATTAACATGAGTGCCTGGTGTGTTTCAGAGCTGTGGTAGGTCATGTTGCCTCTGGTACTGCAGTACAACATGCTACAGACTGTGCCGCCAGGCCTGTAAATGCCTCTGGATTTTCAGTTCTTGGAAATTAAGAACTCAGTTCTGTACCTCTATTTTTTTGGGGGGGTGGGGGAGAGAGGTTTTTGCTATAGGGCACGTGCACTCCCCAGACAGAGAGAGACAGAGAGATAGAAAGCGAGAAATCACCCCCCAGGGGGGATGGCCACACTGCAATCCCTTCTCCTCCAGTCTCCTCTTGGGATCTTGGGCACGCACGCACACGTGCCCAGTGTGAGTTTTAAGCCACCGGGTCCAGGACGTGAACCGTGGTCGACTACGTGGGAGTCCAGCGACATAGCCATTATGCTAACTGCTGGTACCTCTATTTTATATCCTATCATAGTTTGTATATAATTTTATATATTTAAGCCTAATTTTTTGTGGCAAACAGGCATATGCAGTTGAAAGTTTTTCTATTTCTTCGTTTACTTCAAATTAATTGATATATTTATTTAGAGATTACCTTGACAGAGCCTCTCTTATGTTGTAATCCTCCCCCCAGTTAGCCAGGATCATGGGTGAGCCCATGGTCAGCCTGGGATTTGAACCTGGGCCTCCCACGTGTCTCTGGTATCATGTGGCATCATACCACATCTGCCACAAAAGTTGGGCCAGAGGATTTATATTTCCATCTCAACTGATGGAAGACACAAGGCCTAAGTAGCTGGATGAGATGCAGACAAGGGCAATTTAGACACTTTCTTGATATTATTGGAGACCAGTCTTGAGGTCTCTTCCCAGGAGAAATGTAAGTCAATGAAGATAGATGGCATGAAACCTGACACTTCACAATATCCTGGAAAGTTCTGCAACCTCCGGCAAGCTGTTGGAGAAACCTTCTCCAGTGTGAGATTCAGGTGAGTTGCAACTGACAGCTTCCTGAAGCCCGAGAGAAAACCAGGATTAAATTAAGTCTGAATGGAGAAAGATTGATTTTGAGTAAACTGCTTAATGAGATCTAGTCTCGTATTTATATAACTCAAACAGTGTATCAACACATAAACATTAATGTAATTTTCATCCTGGCTAGCATGGACTCTTCTTCAAATGTGAATTTCTTTATGGAAAAAGTATTATCAAGTGGAAACACAAGATAATTTTTATTTATTTGTTAGTACTTAAAAGAAGCAAGGTGTTTTGAACCCCTTGTGTAAATGTAGATCTAGAACCCAAGAAAAACTGCTTCCCAGCAGTTTCTGCTGTCTTTTATCCTCCTGGTAAGGTAGACTTGTGAGCTGTCATGGCCTACATGCTCTATAAACCAGTGGAACCTCCTTGGTGGGCCAGATCAGAGAGAGGCTCTGAATCAGCTTACGGGATGTGTGTGTATGCCCACAAGTGTGCATATACCATACCCTGCTGGTTTCTCACTCAAAGGCCATCTTCCATCTCAGTTCCAACTAAGAGGGCCCTGCTTTTCATGCATCAGGTGGCTGTATGCTTCAGGGCAATACCCCACCCACTTGGCAATCCTTGGTCAAGACATGGACATATGACATAATTAGGCCAAGTTAGAGAAGGTGAGGATGGGAGTGGGAGATCAACTGTGAGGCTTTCCTGAAAAGTTTCTCTGTTCTTAAAAGAAGATATGTTTAAGATATGGACTCTTTCTGACTCTAGATGTTATTTTAGATGTAAAGCAGTATTAACTTGTTATCAACTTGCTCTCCCCAAAACAGACCATTCAGGTATGTAGCATTGACCTGTTTCCATTTCTGTGCTGTAAATTCTCCCACAGTGACCAAGTTCAAGCTACCACTAGCTTGACCACCTGCCAGCAAAATTCCTGAATGTTTAGCAATTGGATCTCAGGAACCCATGAGAGACAACCCTAGCCTACCATTGAAGGCTTAGTGGTACCATGTCCCATCATGTGAAAAGAGTAGGCAATGCTACGGGGATGGCAGAACCCAAAGATGAAGGACCCTAGGGTCCAATGACACCTGTGAGCCATGACATTTCTATCTCTGGCCTTCTTGTTATATAAGTTAATAAATGTCCTTATTGTTTAAAACAGGTTGAGCTGGTGTGGTGAATCTGGGCTTGATCTAGCTGGTACAAACATCCACGGTTGCCCATCTAGTGGAGGTAAGGAAATAAAGCAGGGGCAGAGCTGAACACCGAATAATGGAAATATTCACTTGGTGATCAGGAAGAGGAGGTGGTAGAGAGCAGAGGAGCAGGGAGGCCCATTCGGCTTGAAACAGGACTCTGTCCATTGCTGAGAGAACAGGATGGTGGCTGAGGGCCAAGCAGGCTATCAGTGCCCTTGCCAAGGAGGCTAAAGTTCAGGGCGATCCTCCAGCCTGAGCACAAGTCAGGAAGCCAGGCAGGAGCCTGGGCCTGGAAGGGCAGCCTTGCTGGACGCTGCATGGACAGTTCTGTGCAGCAGAGAGAAGGGAGTACATCAGATAAAGGGGCAAGCATAGAGAGAGGCAGCAATATTAATTCCAGATATCTAAACAACTCGCTTATTGGCAGGATGGGGGAAGAGTTCCCAATATCCAGCAAGCAAGGATGAGAATTTGCTCAGATACTGACCAGCTGAGACCAAAGGTTGAGGGATTCTGTACCTGCCCTGGATCAGATGGACAAATACGGAAGGAAGCATTGTCTTCTCCACAGCTGCCATAGTGCATGTTCTTGGTGATGTCATAGAATTGCTGCTTACCTGGCTTTTTAGACCTCCTATCCCCAGCCCATATATGTATTGTCACGTTGTTACAATTTGGGAAGGTGTGCCCGAAGTTCACAACCGAGACTGATGTCTTGAAAAGTGCTTGATCTTTCCCTGTGTGATGAATTCTATTTGCCTGCCTGTGGCAGAAGCAATTTCATTTCTGTCGTGAACACCTCTCAGGTGTATGATTTCTCCTGTTACTCATTTACTCCTTTATTTTTTCCTCATTCATCTAATAACATATCTAAGGTCTACTCTTCAGCTCAGTTCCATTCATTGAATAACTACCTAGGAAGAACTTTTATAATTGATTGTATGGAGGAAGTAAGTGCAGGAAGAATGAAAGCTGATGTGTCAACAACATTCCCTGCAGATTTTTACAGCAACACTTCTTTCTCTCTGCTATAACTGGGAAGTCAAAGGGCCGGAAACTTGGTTTCCTTTTCACTGTGTTACTGCTGGAAGTCATAGTTTGTGATTTTAATTTTAGTCAGTAGGCCGAGTTCTGTGACATTATCATGACTGGGGGCTAACTAAGAATAGGATCAAATGAGAGAGGAAAACTTCTAGAATGAAGTTCTTCCAAGTTCCTGGTGCTTACCTACTCATCTAATAAATTATGATTTGTTTTACAAAAGCCTCCCAATGTAGTGAGACGTTTCCGAGAGTGACCAAAGATTTTTTTTCTGCAATGTAAAACCCATAAACCAAGTCAAAAGACAAGTATAGAAAGGGAAAATATTGGGGCCAGCAGGTGGTGTGGCGGTTACAATGCTGGACTCCCACATGGCCAACCGTGGTTCAAATCCCGGACCTGGTGGCTTGCTTTCTCACTTCCTTTCTCTCTGTCTCCTTCTGGTCAAATTAAAAGATAAATAATAATAATATTTAAAATAAAAGAAAGGGAAAATATTTGCAACTCATTTACTAGGAAAGGCTATTTTTCTTTATATGTAGAAAGTGCCTACAAATCGGTATAAGAAAGAGACAAACAGCCCAATAAAAAATGTGGAAAAGAGTTCATAAAATGAGAATAGAGGGCCAGCAGGTGGTGTAGAGGTGAAGGCACTGGATTCCACGTGGTTAGCTGTGCGGTTTGAATCCCAGAGCGGCAGCTTGGAAATCATGCTGGGTGTGTGTGCATGTATGTCCACAGTCCTGAAAGGAGACTGGAGAAGGGGTGGCAGCATGGCGACTTCCCCAGGGGGGGTGATTTCTCACTATTCCCTCCACCCCATGTACCTTTCTGTCAAGCACATGTTCCCTGTAGCAAAAACAAACAAACAAAGAATACAAATGTTTCTTTTTCTTTTTTTCTTTTTTTTTTTTTTTCTGGAGAAGTTTTCTGTTATAGGGCCCGTGCACTGGCCAGAAAGATAGAAAGAGACAGAGAGACAGAAAGTGGGAAATCACCCCCCAGGGGGGATGGCCACGCCGTAATCCTTTCTCCTCTATTCTCCTCTCAGGATCTTGGGCACGCACGTCCACGCACCCGGTGTGAGTTTAAGCCACCGGGTTCGGGACTCAAACTGCAGTCAACTACATGGGAGTCCAGCGACACAACCATTACGCCAACTGCTGGTCCCACGAATATTTCTTCAACATAATAAATATAACTATTGATACCTTTATTTTAAACTAAGTAGTAATTAAATTTATATAGATAACCATTTATTAGACTGGCAATGATTTTTAAAAAATTAACAAAACACTATACTGGGCAGAATGTATAAATAACTCTTTCGCTTGCCTTATCTTTCATCTAATCCACAAACATTTACCAAGAAGTTCTCATAACAGGGACTGTGCTAGATATGGAATAAGACAATGAATCAAATAGAGTCTCCAAAAGGTTCAAGAAACATCGGTACAGCACAGTAGCTAGTTAGACATACTATTTATCCTCAGTTCAATCCTATTAGGAAAATTGCTCCTATTGCTTGCCCAATATTAAAACTTTAAACATTATTGTTCTGTAAAAATGATCTGCTTATGCTGCTTCCTGTTGGAGAATGGCAAAAGTCCATCATAACTGATTAAATAACCCAATGATTTCATTTCAGCGGCAACTGCACAATGGTTTGGAAATGGTAATAATTGTCTATTGCTCTCGGGATTATCTCATTGTCTGGCAATAGTTATGAAGACAGTGGAGTTTTAAAAGACCATTCAGTAAGACTGACAGAAAGAACTATTTTATTTTTTCTCTGAATGACTCTCAAAGTGATCGTCTAATTCAGAGTCCATAAAGATCTGAGAGGAGGAGTTCGGTGATAAACTCAAAGTCCTTTAAGCTGAAGGGAGACGAGTTATAGAGCAATATAGAAAACTAAAGGTGTGGCTCTCACAGCAATGGGATGTTTGCTTTCAGCAATTCTGAATAAAATGGAGATGAGCTGGATGAGATCAACAATTAAAATAGCCCCTGAAATGATGTTTTGCCTCTTAACTTAAAGGTGTTATATTTCTTTTCTTTGCCAAGAGTATTGTGCAAAAAAGCATCCCAGGCTGAAAAAATTCTACAGTTTTATCTGTCCATACCCATGCCATCGGTGAAAGTTTCCTTTGAAGGAGAGAAGCATACTCCCTTAAACACCTACTTAAGGACCAGACACATCACCTAGTTTGCTCATTTAATGTTCACCACAACCTTGTGAGTTGTGTTTGCACCATTTCGCAAAGCTCTATTCCCTGCTCAGATTCATTGATTCATTCTACAAAAAATTTTTTTATAGAGAGTTTTGCTATAAGGTGTGTGTGCTCACCAGAGAGACAGAGAGAGGCAGAGACAAAGAAAGTGAGAAATCACTCCCCAGGAGTATAGCCATGCTGCAATCCATTCTCCTCCATTCTTCTCTCGAGATCTTGGGCACATATGCATATGCACCTGGTGTGAGGTTTAAGCCACTGGGTCTGGGACTTGAACCATGGTCACCTATGTGGGAGTCCAGTGATGTATCCATTATGCCATCTGCTGGTCCCATCACCCAACGAATATTTTTAAGAGTCTACCATGTACCAGTCATGCTTTAGGTGCTGGGATATAGAAATGAACGCACCTATAAATACCTCTGGCCTCATGGTGCTTTTATTTTCAGTGGGTGGAGACAAAACTAAAACACAAATAATACACGAGCCTTGGGGATTTATGCTATGGAGGAAGTAATGAGGGCAAGGGGGATAAGAATATTAGGATGGCAGGGATAGGGAGATTTTGTAAACGTGTAGGGTAGTATATACATTGGTTATCTATCGCTCAGTAACAAATTACTCCAACACTTAATGACTTGAAACCACAAACATTTTTTTACCTCGCAGTTTCTGTGGGTCAGGTATGGGTGTGGCTCAGCTGATGTCTCTGCTTTAAGGTCTCTCCAGAGATTGCATTTGGTGAGCCAGCTGGAACAGCTGGGAGTTCACTGGAGGCTGTCAGAAGAAAGGGAACTCAGTTCCTTGCTGGCTTTTGGCTGGAAGCCTTTTCAGTCCCTTGCCACATGGGCCTTTCTATATATCAATTCACAGTATGGCAGTTGGCCTCCCTCAGAGTGAGCAAGCAAGTGAGAGAGAATGAAGGAGCAGGCCCAAGGTGGAAGCTATGGTATTTTTTTAACCTAATCTCCAAAGTGAACATCCATCATGGCTGCCTAATTCTATTCACTCAGAAGCAGGTCACAAAGTAGCTTATAATGAAGAGTTGGAGATTACATAATAAGGATGTGAGTGCCAGGAGGCAGGACTTATTGGGGACCATCTTGGAAACTGTGCTTCTAGTCAGTAAGGCCTAAGGAGAAGACATTTGAGCAAAATCCTAAAGGAAGTGAGGGAACAAGCATGTGGCTACCTGGGAAAAGAGTGTTTCAGGCAGAGGAAGAGCTAATGCTAAGGCTGAGGGAAGACTAGTACAAGATGAGACTGAGGAGACAGCCCTGGATCAGAAAAGGTAGTGTTTTATGTGGGCCATTGTGGGCCATTTGGATTTTATTTTCAGTGAGCTGGGAAGGCTTTGGAAGGTTTTTAGGAATGGAATGACATAGCTTGAAATGTTTTTATTATTTTTTAATTTTGCTAAAGGATGCGTGCACTTCCTTTGAGAGAGAGAGAAAGAGAGAGGGAGAAAGAACTCTCACTGGGAAACAGCCATGCTGTAATTCCTTCTCCTCTCAGGATTTTGGGCACACAGTCACATATGCCTAGTGTGTTTTTCAGTCCTCTGGTTTAGGGACTCAAACTGTGCAGCTGACCTGGGGGATACAGCTGCCTTAACTACTCTACCACTGACTGGCCTGGCATGCATTTTAAAAGGATCACTGGTATGGGACCTGTTCATATCACAATCCTTTCATCCTCCATGTTTCCATCCCATTCTGGGCACACTTGCACATGCCTGTCATGTTTTTCAGGCCACCAACCTGGGATCCTACCACGTTGGCCATGTGGGATCTGGCTCCTTCTGCGCAGTGCTTTCTTGCTGCATTATGGGGCTGGTCACTCTTTTATTACAACCTCCTTGCAAGGCTTACAGACTTGTGTCTGTGTCTCTTCCAACTGGAATGTCCTCCTCACAGGTAATTTTTTGTACTCTTGGTCCTTTTTTTAAAAAATTATTATTATTTTTATTATCATCATAATCTTCTTTATATTACATTGGATTATATATAACTTTACAGTGTATTACATTGCTTTTTCAAAAGGGAATGCCATGCAAGTCAGTCAGTACAAAGACATTAATCTACCTGCTTCAACATTCGATATCTTTTCTATGTTTTCCCCAATTATTATTATAATTATTATTATAATTATTTTTTAAAACAGTCAATCACTATTTCTCATTTTGCTTGTAAAAATACTTTGCCCATCATGAAATACTTCTCAGACCAATCCAGTTGAGAATACTATACACGTCATCATCAACAG